TTGGAGTGTCCAAATGCTTTTCAACTTTGCAACTTTTAATCCATGCTGCAATTACAATGACGAGCCCTATGACTTTTTGATAAGATTAATATTGGCAAATCAAACATCTAAAAATAGAAAACCTAAACTTTAGGAGTCATGGAGTAAAGTGATGCTTCTGACAGATTTAAAGGCATTTTGCTACATAAATAAGACTCTTCGAATATAGCATTGAGCAATGCTACTGCCAAATTTGTCATAAATAGTATTTGCGAAATGCCATAAATAATATTGAAAGTTTGAATTAATGGTTGCTCGAGTCGGTGTTTGCTTCTATCCAATGTTCTTGAACGAGCAACATCAATTCTTCAACAGTGAAAAAGAGCAAGCGATTTTCGCTGTTGTTGTTTTTCCTTTTTGGCCATAGAAATATCAGAAATTCGAATCCGCGTTTGCTCTTGTTTGCTGGTGCTAAATAATTCCTGATGTTCAATCTTTTCCGTTGTTGAAGAATTATTGTCGATGAAATTTTTTCAAAGAAGCGTGAAACTTCATTTAATTCCACGCACAAACTTGAGTATAGATGGAAGGTCTTGATGCAAGTCATCTGATGTCGTTACATAAGTTCAGTGTTGCTTTTGACAAATCAAGAGCCGTGAAAAAAAGGTCGGATAGAAGCACGAGCCAGCTAGGATCAAAGTACTTCAAGTTTTCATATCGAGCAAAACTATACTTACAACATCTCAAAAGCCAACATTTGACAAAGTGAAGTGAATATCATGCTCTTTTGGAAGACGCCAAGCAAATTTTCTTTGATGCTACTGTTTTCGTGAATACTGTTCATGTTCATTTTGTTGGAGCTACGAAAGTCCATAAACCACCTTATTAACATCAACGAGTAAAATCATCTTGTGTTTTAGGTCTTCATAATAATAGTAAAGAATGTGTCCAGCTGTATTTTGATATAAACATCATCAACACAATTTAACGTAAAATTTTATTTGATTCCAAAGCAGAGGACATTTCTATTTATCGTACGTTGAGATTCTTCAAGCAAATGAAATTTGACAATGTGATTGTATGTTATCAAGTTCATATCAAGAACATCAATCTTTTCAAACTTGTTGTTGGGATGATTGATCTTGGTTCGTTGTTTAGGTTAACAGGGCACCGAGTGTAGAATGCAAGCAAAGAGCTAGCTTTCGATTATCTTTGTGGATGCAATAGGGTAAAAATGTCATCATTTGTTCATATTGCTGACGACGTTTGCCTTTCGAAACTTAGCAAATTGCTCGTTGGGCCTTTTATGCTACATTTGATTTATCAATTATTGAGAATATCTCATATTTTGATGTTCAAATGAGATTTGTAATAGGCGTAAGGCTATATTGCATCCATTTATGTTGTTTTACTCTTTATAAACGTCACACCAAAAATAATCTGTTCAAGACGGTCGAGAGGATTATGGTTGTAATTTGTTCATCTTAGGGATATACACTCTCATCAACATGCTCTGATGATGCTAGGATATGAGAGGCGAAGTATGTGGAATAATAACCGTGTTTCTACTCGAGTTGAACAAGAAAGTTGCTACTTGATTCAATTCTGATGTGGTGCATATCAATTTAATCTTATTATTCAAGCTACTATTTTTGTATATCTCAACAATAAATTTTATTTGACGTTGTCTGCCACCATCAAATACCTATGAAGACAACAAAACTTTATCAACAAAATGTGATCTAAATGTTCAAAGTTCGCTACGACTTGCTAATCATAGTTGGAGAAAATGTTGTCTTGGTTTTCAACTCATTGTTGTTGTATTGTTGAATACATAAACCAAAAGAATTTTAATTTCAAACTGATTGTCATGCGGTGGATTGTTTTATTTTCATTGATCTCAATAGTTAATGAGATTGCCATCTTCTTCAAAACCTTGCAGCAGTTTACATTGCTAATAACATAGCAAGAAGCCATTCATCTTTTGTCTTCAGGATATGATAGGATTGCAAGATCTACTTTCCAAATTGCAAATCCATGAACAAGATCAACACATTCGATATTGTAACGGTTTTTACAAAATTGCCAATAAAGTTGTTGTGCACTTTGTTTGAGGGTGTGGTTACTTTATTGTAATGTGATTTAATGATTTGTCTGAAGTTGAGAAAAATGTTATGATTTGTGTTGTTAGAAACCTAGTTGTTAGTCTTGCAGTAGATATTACATGCAATCAAGCCAAAAAAAGATGGTAACAATGCACCTGTAGCATCTTTACCCACATGTGCTCATTGCAAATGTGATATCATGCTTGCATCAAGCTTTTTGAACCTTATCATTAGATTTCAATCTCAGCTTGAAAAAAAATTCAACAACGAATACATTGACACCCTGGAACAAGAACAAAAAAAAATTGTGAACGTTTTATCAAAGAAAAGTTGTACTCTGCAAACAATAGATAAAAGGCCAAGATCTGTCAATTTCCATGAAGCATGTTTACTATTGAACCTTGAATTCCCAAACTGTGTATGTTTGTTGTATGATGTGCTAGTGTATATCCTGGTACTCCGCGTGTGGAGAGTGATTTTTCCGTGGTTAGCTGGGAAAAAGATAAGTACAGATTGTACTTATCTGTCACTCGAGTGCATCATGCATTGTAAGCATTTCAAGAAGATGTAATCAATTTAAAATTGTGATTATATTTGTTATAAAAAATTTTGACTGATGTCATAATAGACAAATTTATGACATATTTGGCAAATGCCATATGCTTGTACATAAGTAATTGATTTCCTTTCATTTGGGATAAAGATTTACTCATTGGAGTAAGACTAGTATTACCCTGAGCACATAGTTTGGACATAAGAGTAGTCATTTCCAATGCTCTTTGTACAAGAATACATGTCATTTTTTACTCTTATAGCATATTTTTATGCAATATTCATGTGCATATTAAAAATAATTGGCACAAGGAATTTTTTAATCTATATCAGATCTTTTTTAAACACCTAGCGTTCAAATGTAGGGTTGAAATTAGGGTTACAAAATGTTCAATGTTTTATATTGACTTTAGAAATCAACGTTATGATGAACAATGGTTATTATGAAAGTTGAAGTTTTTGATGCAAATAAAATTAAATTTGATTGTTATCTGATGTTTAATAACATGGGTATGATATATGTACTCATTGATATTTTGATTAAAAAAAATTGGATCGTCATAAACTTTTGTTATTAGTAAAATTTCATCTATTGTTACATTTGATGTCTGAATTATATATGTTTGGATGCTATATATATATCCACAATTCAAATGACACCAAACCATGGTTTTTCCCTAATTTTATTTTCGGTTTTTGTAATCTCTATCAAACACTCATACGCCCTTTCAAGATAGATTATTTTGAAATCTTTTCTTCCTATCAGTCTATCCTAATGGTCAATATCTCCATATTTATTAAAGAAAACTCAAATGCATAATATATCATGTTTAAATCATGTCTCTAATTTAAACCATGTACCAGATATATCACAACAACTGAATTGTACGTTAGATACAACGTGGAATGGACGTGTTGACCAGCCGTCACGTCCAATGTTAATTTTGCCGTGCCTTCAAAGGACAAATAGTTGTTGTGTACAGTCTAGGTTGAAACCTACCTGCTCAATCATTTGATAATTTATAAACAGCATGCCAAATTTTTGTATGACGTATATTTTTAGCTGAAGATAAATGAAAAATACTCAAAGCATAGTGACAAACATTTACAACCAATTTGAATAAAAATGTTCTATAAATTGGGATATTGTAAAAATTCAACAACTGATGTCACTTTGAGTACATGAAAGAATTAATACGTCAAATGAAAGAATTGTCCGTCAACACGTCCATCGAGGGTAGCACTGTATGAGGGTACGATCAATTATTGCTATGTATCCGCTGCATGATTGAATCAAAAGAAATTATTTAAGCATTATGAATATTTGTAATTACAAATGATTGTGTGGGTATCACTTTCCATATTGGTAACGGAGATCAAACTGGTAACCTGAGATGGTCCGGAAAGTCACCACATTTGGAAATATACAAAAGATAGGACAGACAAAGATTCAACAGAAGGGGGCGCAGGAACTTTCGAGCAAGTTTTGGTAGAATTATAACCCTCCTGGTTGCTACATCAATCCATCGGACAAAACGGTCATCTATTGCATTTCAGATGGATAAGTACAGGATGTCCCATCCTTTATTGTTATCTACATTAGGAAACATACATCTCGCTAGTTAATTCTTTCTAGGCCTCCAGTCAAGGAAGGTGTCGTCTGAAGAAGAGATATCAGTAAATTCCGCAGATGTCTAAGAAAGAAGCAAACCGAAACATTTAGGAACTGGGTAAGGATAAATGCAGAGTCGGTAATTGCTTAAGAGGTCCGAAGGCGAAAACGACGCTCGAATCAGGTAACCAAGAAGAAGATTTCTTGAGAATAAAAAGATTCCACAATTTTATTTATATGTCCCCATTATCAACTCGTATCCAAAAGGAAAGGGAAGGGCAGGGCAGGAAATGAATACAAGTACAAAATGTACGACAAGGTGCCACAGGCCATAATTGGAGGCGTGTGCGCGCATGTGACCAATCGGGGACGAGTGGACTTTTTCTTGTTCTTTGTTCGCTGGCTGCCACGGGGACAGTTGTCCATTCGTCGAACCCGGTAGGATCGCTCCGTGGGAGGCGGATGAGCTCGAAAACGGCCAAGTCAGGCCTGCATCCCGGTCGGGGTCGCGTGGTGGGGCCGCGTGGTCCCAGTGCCAGGTGGCGCTCGCTCGTTCGTTCGTCCACTCGATCTGTCCGTCTGCCGGTTCCAAGGTGTCTGGCTTTTTCCCGAGAGGATTTCCACCTCTTGCAAGAAGTGAGTTCGGGTTTGAGACCCGAGCGACCGACCGACGGACCGGCAATCTCTTGGCCTACTGACCGACTCTCGTGTCTTGCCGATGGAATAAAGTGCCGGACGTCCGAAGATGCAATGCGCTTAATGTGGGCTTTCTTCGTCTGGTCTGCCTTGCCTTGCCTCGGCTCGGCCCAGACTCGCGCTCTCGAGGTCCTCCATCTCCTTCCTGATGCGGGGTGCGCCTCGCACTCGCACTCGGGACTGCAAGAACTGTCGAGTACAGTCGTTGTCGCGAGCTGAATCCTTGTCTCGAGTAGCGCCCGGGCCTGGCTGGCTGGTTGGCTTTTTGTTGCCACTTTGCGGGCTCGAATTTGGCACGTGAAGAGTGTGCGGAGTTGCGCATTCCCACTGTGGGCTCCCGGGTTCTTGGGTTGTTTTGAACAGGCCAGACCACGCGGACGGGCAGATGGCAAGTCATGCCTTTTTCGTTCTCTGCATGGTGGAAATTATGTTCGTCTCTGTGGGCGTAGTGATCTGTGGGTGATAGACACCCCGGAAATCTGCTAGGAGTACCTCGTGCTTTTCGACACACCCAAGACAGTAGGCGACATTCTTGCCAACAACTTCCAGCCTCAACTTAATTTTCTTGAATACAAAGCAGCGAAAGTCTAGTACTGAGGCCGCTCCTCTGGCAGCTCACTTATGTCAACTTTAATTCAATTCTCCTGTTCAGGGCTTCAAATTTAGCTTCGAAAGAATTCTTACCCCACTTTGTTGCGATGGTGCAGTCTTCAATTGGTGCACGGCAAGTCCCAGGTTGTTAAAAAAAAAACCGAACAATTTTCAGATTGGAAAAGCTTCTGCTTATGCTGGGAATTGATCCAACGAATTCTGTCGTCTCAAGACAAATTTTGACTTTATGTGGATATTTTCCCCATAAGTCATGGAGAAAGCTTGCAAACCGAAGTAACCTGTCTGGAGCTTCAAGGAGACCGCTTCCTTAGCATCATCCTCACTAATTTCTGTGGTAAGCCGTATCTGGATACTTCGTTGTGCTGGATTGCAATGACAACGAGAGTTTTAAATCTGCCCGTTTCAGTTCTTGGCACGTGATATCTGAAAAACTGTCCTGTTGACCTATCAGTTGCAAGGAAATGGAAAGATTGCTTACCAAAATCCGTGACCTTGAGAAGGAGGCCCTCAATATAGCTTCCAAACAAGAGCGAAAAAGAATACGGATTAAAGAGGTTCGTTTTCTTTTGTTATCACACCTCGTCCAATTCCAATTGATTCCATCGACAAAGAATTGTAGCTGTTTCGAGAGTGCTAATAACCAACAGTGAGAAAGGGTGAAAATGTTCATTTTCCACCTCTTCTAACTGAGAAAGAGTCTTGTATTTTCCTTTCATACACATACGGGGTTTGTTCCAGACGAACGAAGAGTGCTGCTGGCACTGCGAAGGCCAAGACTGGATAAATGATGTGAGGCTTAAAGGTGGAGAATGGACTGGCAAGCCCTTGGTGGTTCTCAGCTTGTTTGATGGGATTGGTGGTGTTTGGGTCGCCCTTGAAAGACTTGGCATACCTTTCGTGGGATACAGTTGTGAAGTGGTATGATTCTTCTCCATCTTCGGAAACATTTGTGTTACGCTGGCTAGACACACTGTTTTCTCGATTATCATTCTTGAACCCATAATATATGAAACTCATGCATTGAAACCATAACCTGTTCTGTCTCGTGTTACTAAATCATGGATCAAGACCATCAAGAGGGCTTTTTGTTTGAGGACCAATGTCAAATATATCTGAGGATGATCAATGCAAATTGATCATACTCGGACGCTGTGACTAAATCATACATCAACCTAGTAAGGTCCCAGTCTATATGACATTCCATTTCTGGTTCGTTTCCTCTGTAGAGAACCTTATCATATACAAAGTCCATAAACACTTTTTTCTGCCTTTGAAAAAAGGTGATCTTATATAATTTCTGTGGTTAGGATGGTCTCCGACCGTTGACAATGTCGAGGATGATTTACAACATGATGTCTACATTTCAGAGCTAATTTAGAGAATGACTCTCATGGGCGTTTACACCAACCATTTCAAAATTGAAAATAGCTACGAATGTTCAGAGCTTCTGAACTTTGTTGTTGAATTATAAGGGTCTATTTTCTTCCTAAGATACCATCTCAGGCAGGAACTGCCTCATCCTTCGCAGGACGTTTGAGCCTATGAAGTTGCCTTAACAAACTTAACAAAAGCCTGACATCTATGTTAACACTAATTTCAAAGGTAATAGCCAAATAATCTGTAGGTTGTAGATTAGACAGGAATGATAATCCATACTCAGCACATGTCCCACGTGGACAGTAATAAGCGAGAATTTTCTCCTTTAGAACAAAATCTTTTGAACGCTACTTGTGCTATTCCATCAAAGCATTGTCTCTGTGTGTCCTGCCACTGGTACATTGTAACCGTAGCTTGAACATCAGGAGCCATGCACTAGTTCTGGTTATTCAAACAAGTTATCTAGTTTTACGTCTATTAAATAGACGTAAAGCACAACACCTGAAAATCTTGTCACAAGAATTCAACTTCATAGTTTTTTGTTGAGAAGAATTTTCAAGTGCAGATACTCCATACATCATCAGAGTCCTGTGGCGCCTAGCTTTCTACAGAAAATAGGTAGCACCTTCAGTCAATGATGTGAAATGTCCCGTCCTTAGATTTTACGAAACACACACGAGTGGACATGTCTTTCCCTTGACCTCCAAGATCTTGCTTGGATTGACTAAATAACCTTCCTTTCATCAAACATTATGCTCCCTACCTGTGTCACGATGTGCTATAACATCATATTGTCCTTTAGAATGATGCCGCGATGCAGGTGATCAAACATAGATACGGCATGGTTCGTCACCTCGGAGATGTTAAGGAACTTGAAAAAGCAGACATACCAGAGAAGGTGGATTTGATCATTGGTGGTTTTCCCTGTCAAGACTTGAGCAGCCTGGGGCATAAAATGGGGTAACTCTTCAACCTAGATCGTTTCAAGATGCTGCAAAATGATTCTCATCTCCTTTCATTTAAAATGGATGATGCTTGAAGTATTATGAGAATATTCCTTCAGAGCACATGCGATTACTGTGTTCGTTCCATTCCCTTTTTCCTCTTTCCTTTTTTATTTAGCTTCAATCAAGCATAATTATTCATACTTTAATCGACTTTTCAAGTTTCTGCCTTATTAATCTGGCATGGACGTGAAGGCAGCCAGTTTTATGGACTCTCAAGACTGTTAAATCTACAGAATCCAGACCGTGAATGTATTTTTCATATTTAGTCTGATATGATAGTTTTCCTGCATTTGCTGAAAGGTTTGATTATGTTTATGGCTTACTTTGAAGCATTTCTACCTGTAGAGCTTTATATTTGTGTTTCTGGAGTTATCATACTTTTCTGATTTTCATCGTACACCACAAGTCGGGAAATAGTCATATCAGTTGACATAACAATCCTCTCTTAAGAATATATTTTGTTAGAAAGTAATGCATCTGCTTTTCTTTCTCAATCTGAAGACAAAGCAATTATCGCTAGATTGTAATCTTAAAGAAGCATAATGTGGTTCTCATCTACAAAACTCTGAAGTATGGATGTCATCGGAGGTTGCTTATGGTACTCGAACGTCACTTCTTTTTTGCCCATATATGCTCAATGGTTGTTTACATCGATTCCAGTGCATATATAAGCCATCATACATGTCAGCTTAATAGTTGCGCACTAGAGCTTTTGTAATTGCTGTTGGGTAAATGAGACCTCAATACATAATAGATATATAGCTTGAGGGTATAGTGGTAAGATGATGGAAAGTCTGATGAGTTTGTTAGGATTATGAATGTGGAATAGTCATTATGATTTGGATTTGTGATATCTGCCCTTTCATTGCAACCCTCGTTACATGTATCCTGCTCAGTCTTCTTGGTAGGTCGAGGACTAATGTTTGACATGTTAGAGCTACTTAACCTGTAAGTTGTCGATGGACAGACTTCACGGGCAACGAAGCAAGCTCTTCTTCGAAATGCTACGCATCATCAAGATTTTCAACCCAACCTGGTGACGTTCTTCTTCACTGGTACTCCTGTAATTATTAGGATTGCGTAAGTTTGACTCATTCAAATAACAACCAAGCAATCTTGACTTCGGTTCAATAAGGTTTTATCACTCACAAAGTTCTTACTTAACTCATGGATTTTATATGCTATATATTCCAAGATTCTAGACGAAGATTTTTGAGAACCCAGGCGTGAGGACTATTGTTACGAAGTCGAATAACGTAGTTGAGGAACTGTACGTACTTCATAAAATTAAAAGTGGTATCATTCATACCTTTCGCATCTCTCAGGGCACATTACCTTCTGTGAACTGGGAGTTCACGAGACATTCAGATTATCCTACATTTAAGATAGCAGACCTTACAATCACTTGTTGCGTTTTGTTACTTCTTGTAGGCTATCTAATCACAGATTGTTACCGTTGCCAGAGCTAAGGACTGATACATCCAGATGCAAGATAGTATTTTTTTCTGACATGATAGCGTCCAGGTTTCTTGCAGAGAATGTCGCATCAATGACATGGATTGATCGTCAAGAGATCTCAAAGCATTTGAACACCACTCCAATTGAGATCGATGCTGAGGAGATTACTCCCAGTAAGAGGAGACGGATATACTGGTCAAACATACCCTACCCGAACAAAATTCCTCGAATTAGAGATCATGAAAGCACAGCCCTGCAAAGTGTGCTTCACAATGCAACTGCTCTCGACAAAAAAGTCGGGGTAAGGATGTTTTTATGACATGTAAACATACCTGGTTATTATGCGAAGTCATCAGCTCCACGTCCAGGCTTTTTTTTCATTTTACCTACAAAATATATGCAACGTAGACTAATTTAGGAGATCATGTTTCTCTTGTAAGATGGAGTTATATGAGAAACATCTGAGTAAACTGTTATTTTAGAGCTTTCATCTTAACACATATGATCACCTGTTCTCTAAAAGATGAAGTTAGATAGAATGAATGGCATAGGAAAATAAGAGCTTTACATTTTACTATGGACTGAGCTGCACTTGTGGATCATAAGTGTAATCTTGTTTACATGCGCTCATTTTGCTGTGTATATGCTGCAGTGCATTCTTTCACAGAACAATCATAAGGCTGGCTATGGTAGTCTTGAATTGGTGATGGACAACAACACAAATAAGCTGCGTTACATTAGCGTAATAGAAACAGAGCTAGCGATGGGATATCCCCCAGGATATACCAATGTGAAATTCAATCATAGCTGCGAAAAGAAGACCATATCATCAACAGCAAACTATCGGTAAACATGGTCAATTTCTATATTAATTTGGTGTCTTGTTAATCTTCATTGTGCATTTACCGAATGGAGATTCAAATGAAAGAGTTTTCTCAGAGCATGTATTTTCTTGTCTTTTACAGCACTGAGGTGAATATTACGAACATCACTAGACGTGCGGGGGAGAAGATGTTGAGAAGTAAGAGAATTGTACAATCATCTCAAAGGCTAGTGGAGGAGATGAGTTCAGTAAAGTCTTCTTCTTTTGCGGATGGCATCAATCGTAGCGCACGGTGGCATCTTCTTGGCAACACTTTTTCAGTAAGTCACTCGATTTGAACTACATGTAGAACCTTTTTAGACAGCTTATGAATGTTACATGACGTATAGCTACTCTCTTCTGGATCCTATGGATGATCCAGGATTGTTAGGTGCTACTGCTGTTGTTATGATTTCGAAGTAATATATCAGTACAGTTCTTTCCGCCATTGAAAGGAGTTTTGAGTATAAAGTCTTTGTCTGCATTTGTGGAAGTCATTACATCTTTGAAGACGTGAAAGCTTTCACATCTACTGAAGACCTTTTTCCGCCGCCTTGCCATTGTAGGTACCAGTCATATGCTACCTTTTAAGTCCATTATTGTACAGAGAAGTTCGAGCTGCCCCGATACCAATCTCCCTTCCGAAGTACATTAAAGAGCAGGATTGCTCAGCCATGGACCCAGGCGAGGTGAGACTAGTGCACCACTGCAGAAGGAAAATGCTGGGAAATAAGCTCGATCCTTTTCATCTTGAAATAACCAAACTAGAACTAAAGCTGTCATAGTTTCCCTGGTCATGGAGAGACGGTTACTACTGGGGAAAGTGAGGTGTTCTATGATGTCAACCTGGACCAGACAGTCTTCTGTTGTCAGGATGCTCCACCGGTTTACTTGTCTTGAGAGCACTGAACCCTCCTTGATGAATTATGGTTTCATGAACAGGTTTGGGCTTTGTACAATAGCCATGAGCGACCCAATTGGTATGCAGTCATTGTCAGCAGATCTGGAGACCGTTTCAGTGATGTGCGGATTCAACTAGGTAGAAAACGACCACCAATTTATATTGAAGTGTGAGTAAACCTGATACCTTATGTTTAGCAATATCAAATCCATTCAGCTTCCAGGTAAGGTTTGTTCACAGTACATCTTTCGTCAGAAAACAGTTTCCTTCTCTGATTCCACTTTCTTGTCTGCTGGCTCTCCTGCATCCTATTTCATACTTATGATCTGAGCCTTTTGACCTTTTTGCTTCTTGTCATCTATCGTTCATTAGTTTTCTCCTTCCTAGTAATCGGAGCAGATTTGTAAAGGTTTTTAAGGAGAGCTGGAAAAGGCATGGCCAATATTAGTAGTGATCGTAGTATTTCCCTGAATTTATTGAGAGGCGCCCCTTTATGTAATTGTTCGGCTATTGAGAACTACGGTTATTAAGCCACTACGCTGTCCGACTACACAACACTGACTTACATAGCTTTGATTCTAGACTCAAATGTGCAGCTAGTTGAACTTCGGTAGCAGATGGCTCACCCGACTTTGATGTATGCTCCATACGACTATCCGGATTTGACGTAGAATCATTGTTTCATGCTCAGTTGTCATATCCAATGTTCGTACTGGTCAATCATGATAAATTTCTACCATGTTCACCACTTGATCTTATCAATCATGTCGTGATTCAAGAGGTGAATATGGTAACAATACGTCAAGGGTTATATTACATGAAGAACCTATGGTTTCTCCAAAATTGATTATGTCAACTCTTCATTTAGAATGTAATCTTCATTTTTACATCCTGTATGTAATGCAGAAAGTTTATGGAGATGACATCTGCCTATGCAGCTGGAGAGCCCGATAACTGGGACACAAATCGAGGGACAGGTCTTTTTCATCTGAGAGAATTGATAGATAAGCAAAATTCTTGGGTTGCATTCTCCCACAGGTATAAATGTTTTAGATTTTGATATCCCTCATTAGACTCATTAGGTTCATTTGACTGCCACAGCTTTTGTGAAACACAAACAATAGTTAAATCTAAAGCTCAAACCGCTAATACGTGAGCTTCTGCTAAGTATCGTGTCATGCCACGACAATATTTATTGAGCAGAGTTCATAGTTGTGGAATTCTTCCAAGTTGGTGCACTCCGTTAGAGCGCTTTTGCAGTCAATCATACTGTTTCGCATATACAGGGTGAGCACATTTTTGCATTTCGATAATCATTACTTTATGTACCCCGGAAAGGACGAGGTATGGGCTATATATGACAACGCTGCGAAGTGCCGGTACCTAGTGGTAAGCTCTTGTTTTTAATTTTATGCTTTGGTCTGAGGTTATGCTAAGCAAGAAAGGGAAGGTGGAAAAATGGTCGCCTTACTTTTGCAAATAATGTTGAAAAATGTTGAAAAATCGTCGCCTATCAATATTAACAGGCTGCTACATGTGTACCTTCTTTCGTTTTCTCTTAATTCAGTACTCTCACTCGTTCGTGATGTGCTTTCGCAATGCTCTACTAAGTAGGTTCGTTCCTGATGCTGATGTTACGGTTATTGCTGCTTCGTGTGGGCCTTGTTCAGTACGTATTGACGAGCGAGATTGATCGGCAGAAGGCAAAGCTAGGGAAACCCGGTAAAGAAGGGTTTCATGCTCGCTGCCGCCTTTTGCAAAGGACAGAGAATGAGGTCTACAGGTGTGTTATTTCTTGTGAGGACTTGTGAAGGCCATGCTTTAGTATACCCGTGTGAGGACGGTTCAATGTGGAAGTGACCCATTGTTGAACCAAGCTGAGATATCGTAAGCTCAGGCAATGCAGGCTTAGGATTCTCGTAGTCAAGGCCTACAGTGCCATGAATTGGTGTATCTCGTTGTTATGCGTTTGGACTGAGCTTGCAAGCGGTAAGGACTTTACCCCTGTTGTTAATTGTCTTGGTGGGTTTTGGTTTACCAGATTCATGGACGCGGAGCTTGACCTTACTGATCTCTCGATCTTCGCTTTTAGGGCGCCCTTTCATTATAAAAACGAATCCAATCTTCTTAGAATCGAACTAACGCTGAGACAGCGTAAACAGGGACCTGAAAATGACAAACAAAATTGTAAACGTAGAAAAAGATACTCGGACAGTGATGAAGATGATGAAGAGGACGAGGTGGAAGCCACCGACTCTGAAGCTGTGGTAACTGCGGAAGACGATTCAGGAAGGTGATACTATTCGTACCCACAGCAGAGTACGCGGAAATTTGATTTTTCAGAGCTGAGACAACTGTCAAAAATCGGTATGCGATTCTTGAGTAGATGAGAAATTGGTAGAAAAATCCCAGGCTTACCATAGAATTTAGGCCATTTATGAACATTGTCGCTTTAATAAATGACTAAATCCTCGTTCACACGCGTTTAACATGTGAGAGAAGGGGTGAATGGGATAAACCATAGTATAAATGATGTCATTTTATTTAAGTTAGCCAGTTTGCAAACAACCATAGCATCCAAAGTTATTGGTATTAGCAGGAAGATTTGCAACTATTTTCGGTGTTATTTTTAATTTAGTCAATTAATCTGAAAAAAAATTAATATATATCTTATTTTCAAGATCTCACTATCTCTCCTATGACAAAATAGTTTCCATATAGAATTCATATGTTTTTAATATATCTCACAAATCAGATTATCATCGTAAAGTAAAAAGTTATGAAGAATAATGGAATGTCAAGGTAATAATAATCTAAAATGAAAATCTTGTTTTGATTGATAAGTTCATATGGCCCTTGTTAATTCACATCATAAAAGCTTTAATAAAAGCATGAGATGTAACTCATCACCAATATTTCAAGACCCAATTCTGAAGTTTTCAAATTACTTCAGTGTCATACATCAGTTACTCAACATCAAAACTATACATCCGCGAGCACTGAAGCTAACTTTCTTTAAAACTGAAATTAGGATTTTTATTCACGATGTTGACTTCAAAAGCAAGTCCAATATCAATGATTCTAATAGCATAGTTGATTCTAAGGACTATGGATGATGTTGACATAGTTTCAAACATATAAGTTTGATATGTATCATCTCTCATTAAGTTTGTAATTTATGTAATTCTTACTTATTATTCTCTATTGTATTGGAAACCAATTTTCAACCTAACATTAAAATACAAATTAAGGGAAATTTTTTATATCACTAAAATGTTCAATTAGGCATTATATATATTCAGATTAATTTCATCTTTGAGTATATCCAAAAACTTATACAAAGTTTCATAATAATTGCATATTGTCTTACATTGATCTTAACACAATTCCCAAAAACATTCAATTTTTTATTTTTACATTACTTTTATAACACATTGAAGATATTAAATCTTATTGAAATATATTGCTAATTATAATAAAATAGATTATTTTTTGCATCACATAGGAAAAGTTGATTGGTTTTAACTGTTAATGGAATGTTATATGTATCTATCAATTTCAACAGAACATTGTTGAAATTGTTTTGTATTTTTTTGAAAAGAACAATGTTATCATTTTCAAATCAAATGAATAAACTTCGATTCATTTCAAAATTTGTAGATTATGTCATATTTTTTTATACTATCACAAAAAATATATTTATAAATGAATGTTAAAAAACTATATTAATTATTTTATGAATATGAATAAAGCCAAATAAATATCGGAAAATCATTTTTTTCAAAATCAAATCGAATTTTTAATTCTGAAACATTTACGTTCATTATGTCAAATTATTTTTTAATGGGTTTTTTCCGAGTTCCTGTTCTTTTCGAAAAAATTAAAATATGTCTTCTAAATTTGAGAAAAAATAATCTGAATATTATTATTATCAAAGAATTTTGTTATACTCATTATTAAAAAATATAAAGACATACAAAATCTTTTCTCCTTGTTAAAACCTTATTTGGTCAGATTTTTTTAGAAAAATTTTGAATTTTTAAAAAAAACTTTATACTTGAATTGCTAAAGTTTTTATTGTTATTTTGTAATGAATTAATAAATGGAATTAAAATTTAAATATAATTTAAATTATTCAATTCACACACACACACACTTACACTTAATATAGATAGATATATATATATATATATATATATATATATATATATATATATATATACTAGTATGTAAGTATTTAGATAAATATCCAATTTCCAAATTTTCAAAAATATATTATAAAAAGTATGTAGATCTTTCACTATATATATAGTAAAAAATTATGTTTTCAATAATTTTGTCCCAAATTCGTGAATTTCTTTCATTTTATCAGTTTTAAAAAATAGTTTCAATTATATTAATTTGATATTAAAGTAATAAAACTACACTTTTCTTAAATAAATAACTAAATTTTGTTTCTTAGATAATTTCAATATATTCATCATTAGAAATCACTTATTTATTTGCAATATTTTCTCAAGTTAGTAATTTTTTGTTTGGTATTGTAACTATTTGAAATATCTTTTGTTTACAAAGACCTAATAGAATTTTAAAATTTCTGAAATTTATCAAAATTACTGGGTGTATAGTGAAGTTACAGTAAATTTTAAGGAAAATTAATTTAAATTCTTTAAATGATTTCTTTCCAAAATTACTGTTTTTTTACTGATTTTAAAATATTAAAAAAAATTCATAAACATTCATTATTATGAATAAAGAATATTCTTGTCATGTTTTTCTATGATATGAATGTCTTATTTACAAAAATTTTAAAAAAATATTAATAAAACTCTTTTTACTTGAATTCCTTAAACTCTTTTTTTTCATGAATATATGAACCAAAAATCATTAGCATGATTTATTTTGTACGATAAGAAATAATATAAATTGCTAATAAATATTATTCTAAGAATTAGAAAATGACATAGAGACTACAAAAATTTTGAATTTGATGAAATTTTACTTGAATTTTTTAAGTTTATCAAAACTTTCCTTTTCAATATTTGAATACATTGTAAGAAAAACACCTTCCAAATAATTTTTTTTGTAAATAAAAAAAAGTAATATTATAATATTACAAATAATTTTTTAAGCAGAAATAATTCTAAAATTTTATTCCAAGTTATTGCAATCTTGTATAGTTATTTTTAGAATAAAAATTTAACTTAAAAAGAAAAAAAAACTGTTACATAAATTAATATTTTTATTTCTCATAATTTCATAAAGTCCATTTTAAAATTTAATTCATTTATGAATATAAATATAAAATAATTAACGAGTTTTATTTTAAAAGGAATAGAAATTTAATTTTAATTTTAATTTTAAGAAGAGTTTTCCTTGCAAGACTTCAACCTTCATATCTCTCTTAGAATTAAGTAAATTTAATTGCTTACACAACAATGCATGGAATAGATTGAACAACTTTTGTTACTTGAAAATTGAATGTCACATTTTTTTTCATCTGACTAAATTCCTTACTCTTGTGATTCAAAATTTTTTTTAAAATAAGGTTTTATCAAATGTGTACATATTAAATTAAAAAAATACATAAAAATAATTTATAAATATATATCATGTATAATATCATTTACATATGAACATACACGTAAATAATTGATGAAATTTTTTTAATCAGATATTCACAAAAATTTTAATTTGATAGTTAAACATAAACTTTAGAAAAAATAATGCATGTAAAAAATATGGAGAAGAAGGAAAAATCCATTTTTTATTTATAAAGTATTTTAACTCATTTTACTAAAATAAAATTATTGGAAAGAAAACATTCAATGCAAATTCAATCATAATATAAACATATGAAAAAAAAACGTGTTTAATGTGACATGATATTATTCAAATCGGCTTGAAGTTTTCTTAGGCACTTTACTTTATGTAAAGTGCCTAAGAAAATGACTTCAAGCCAAGTAAAATGAGTTTACGGCATTGTTATTCAAATAGAATTTAGACCAATTTTTTTGTGGAATCTCTTGATTTTTCATTTTATTAAAGCACATAAAACGATTGAATTCTGGATAATATATTTCATATAAACTTTGCTTATTATTTATAAAAGTTTGAATTTTGGATATTAAACCTTTACATTCAAATTTTACGAGATCCACAACGTAGTTGACATCTCTTTGCAAGTGAAGAATTCTCACTTGCACTATATAATAATGAGGTATATAGTCTCTGTAAATGAAATGATGAAGGGTTTGCAATGGCAATAGCTGATTATTCAAGTAATTTTTGGAAGAAACTCCCAATTGGAGCATTTACTAAATCTCCTGTATTAACAGCCCACTGGATTATTCAAGTTCAACCCTTTCTAAAAATAAGAGGTAAAAATAATTGTACTCAACTTAAAATCTGCGAAACATCCGTTTTGTAGAATTCGAAAAAGAATGCAATGAGTAAAAAAATAAAAATCGAATTTTAGAGTATCTTGATTTACTTGTAATATGTGAAAAGCATATGTTATGTAACACGCACATAACATAGTATTATTCCATTGAAGCGGACCAAGTGGATGAAACAAATGGGTTTACCAACAATACAAGAACATTTGCGAAAGCCACGAATTAATCCACTAATTTTTTTCATGTTCACAGGACCTGACAAGGTCTTACTATCCTTTTTGTTACATTTCTTTATGTTTGTAGGGACAGGACTGATTTTTGCAGTTAGTCGGTATTTTCCGAGCACTTCCCAATTCTTGGTGCCTATGGTAATTTTCAAAATTGCGCTCCGCTCTTCTTCAAAGATTGCCAGATCTCAAGGCCATCCTTCTAGAAGTGATTGACTTAGTGGCCGTCTTTAGAATCCAGAGCCTTCGGAAACAGCGTGCCGCGTAAAGGACAAGGCGCCGGCCTCGCCGTCTCAATCATCGATGACACAAGCAACTCTCAGCCCCGCTGGTCCTCTTCTGTAAAGCAAGAACTTTTGTGGAAGGATTTGATCGCATTGTGGAGGTTTTGCGGCACATGGAGTACATCTCAGCAGGTACGTCTACTGCTCGGAAGGAATGCATCGATTAGGTCGGAAATGAAATCAGTCAGTGGAGGTTTCGTCGTCTTGAGATGTTTTAGTTACAGGCAGGGACGTGGGATCGAAATTGGATCTTCTTCTCGCTTAATTTTCATCCGGATTGCCTCTCTGGATCCTTGCGTGTGGTCGATGATGGCCAATTTGGAATAGAACAAGTTTCCGGAAATTTTGGTCATCTTTTTCATGGTCTGTTACCCATAGCTTTGGGATCCAGGTCCTCTGCACGTTTTGTGCACCACATCGCCCGACTTTGATGATCGAAGACTTGCATTTCGTCCAGTGTAGCATCGTTTAGTATCTGGTTTCTCTCGATTCAATTAGCGCTAACTGATTCGTTCTCAGTGCACTCTGCTTGAAATTTGTGGTCCTTGATTAGTCAAGTATTTCATATCTTTTTCCTCACTTTTGGCTCAGGGCTTCTGTTCAGCGCCTGCACTGACTATGACTGGAAAACCGTCTTATGTCCCAACCTCTCAATTCAAACTGCTATATTTCAATACTTGTGGGTAGTTTCAAATATCATCCTTTATGAGAAGAAGGAAAGTTACTGTGCCTATTCCCAGAGTTTTCTCGTCAGTCTCCGTGTTCATTCGTTGCAATTGTAAATTACGGTGGTTGATGTAAGATTTCGCTTTTCTTGTTGATCGAGCAAGACAAATAATCCAGACAATTACCTTCCCTATTCCTTCAGAATTTAACAACAGTCTCTTCTCCAACACTTTGCGAAATCAGCAACCTTCGCAGATAATACAGAGTTCGCTGCATCTCCGTTAGAGCCGAGCCTCCTTTCTTTAACAAGAGGCACACTGGTTTAACTTTTTTATTTCAAAATATTATATTAAGACAAGCCACTCTGAGTTCCTATCGCCTGCTCTCTTGTTGTTAATGTGAACATGGGACTCCCAGTGTATGCACATTTTTTGAAACCATTTTGTCCTTGAAGATGATGTCAGGCCCTCTGAGTGACATCAATCGCCCACCTGTCGAATCTAAGTGTTGATACCGTTAGGTACTTGTGCTTTCTCTATCAGTTGTTTACTGACAAATTGCTTGATCGCTACACATCTTTTTTTTGCTAGTTTGTTACTTAGTGGCTCCTTACTGGTGCTGGTACTCCCTTGAGGAATTTTGTGTTCGTTTCCTTGACAAGACAAATGGTTCAGATTGTCAGTGAATAAAGTCTTAAAGCACAACGCACAAGTGGATGTTTGACATCTTCCAGATTCAAATTTCCATCCTTCAAAATGCAGGCCTGTGGTCCATTTTGATCAAAATGTCGAATGTACTGATTCTGATCAAAACTGTTCTAATTTTTTTTGGTTTTAAACTTCGGTGACAAGCGATCGCTCCCGTTTTCTGTACGTTGTTCTGCTCTGAACTGTCTCTGTATCTCTTTTTGGGTGCAGGAGAGGTAACTGGTAAGCGCTCACCATGGAGATTGAGTTTTATATCGGAAACTTTCTGGGCAATCATTAATCTTGTCATGGGTTTCATCATGACCATGTTCTCGGTAAGGTCTTCAGTGCTTAGTGTGTTATTCCGTTTTGCAGTTCTTCGACAGGATTTAGCTACGTGTATGAGTGTTTTCAATCAAGGCAGTGGTGTTATGGAGTTAGAAGTTCATTGACACAGCTCTTACACTCCCTTGCGGGCTTGAGGCTTCGAGATTTTTCATTCTTGAGGTAGTCGAACTAACTTCGCTCTAATCCCCTGTTACTCGTCTTCCTAGATGGAGGCAGCGTCTTCTTATGGGAAGAAGCAGCCCACAAAGAGAAGTCCGTCCGGTTTTGGTAATGGCGGTGGTCCTCCTGGTTTTGGTGGCGGTGGTCCAGGTGGTCCAGGTGGAAGACCTGGTGGGGGTGGTTCTGGCCCACGAGGGCTGAGTGGTCTGAGCAATGTCCGAGGCATTGATCACAGTAAGTTGTTAAATTACTAACTGTCTACTCTGCCCTGTATGCTTCTATATACGTCTATTTTCAGGTACTCTGGAACATGTTCTGCATTCGATTATATTTTCAAACTTGATTACTAGACCCAGTGTCAGCAATAAATCTAAATATCAGCACGAATGGAAGCACACAAATAGATCTGTATCTGTTGCAACTAAAACTGACCGCACATTGTGAATAATATATTAGAGTAGAAACGCAGGCATGTACATTTATCAATTTTCATGTGTCAATCATGATTCTCCTGAGATTTTTCGTCGTACTTTCAAAATTGAGTGGTTAGATTTGCTAAGGACTCCATCAACTCTTTTGACTGAAACGTGTGCTGGCCGGAAATTTGCAGCTACCCCTCTTCCCTGTGGCTCGTGTTGCGGCTAAAAGCGAAGTACGTGTTCACCTAAGATACTAGTTCATACTCCGCAGTGAAGCAGAAGATTGAGACCTGTCTTGTCTCTGCATACTGGACCAAAGCTCCAGGAACCGAAGATAAATCAGAGTTCTCTTTGTTCTCGCAAACGATTGCATATTTAGTTGGAGGACTTGGACAGATTCGTTCAGTTTCATGTAAATGTATACTTTCTACTCATCTCTGATAGTAGTCGATCACGAGAACGTTGAGCACGTTTAGCCTAATCATATGCAGATTGTCACAATAGATCTGCATAAATTGTTCGAAATAAAGATGATTTGAGGGAATGACTTCATTCCCCCAAGACTGATCCATCGATGCAGGTGCTTGGCATGGCGGCTTTCTGAATGTCGAACTGTTCAAGTCGTTGCATTGGCCATTTGGCCAATTCATTCCTTGCCTTTTTCCACTTTTCATTCATTTCAATCAAAATCCGTGGAAACGTGAAGACTCTATGGTCAAGAAAGCCCTAGCTGTACTTCTTCCCAAGTTCATTGCTGTACTTTTAGATTTAGCACTCAACTTTGACGTATCTAATTATCAAATTTGAAGTACGGAAGTATTTCAGCCGGCACAGCAGATGGGAATCGAGGACCACCTTTTGATGTGCCAAGATCACGGTCAATCTACATAAAATGATGACGACACAAATTGAGAGATCCACCAGTAAAACGTCACTGACGTGGTGTGCACGACACTGCCTACTGCCGTCGAGGCCATCTCATACGAAGCGCTGTGCTGTGTTTTGACCCTACAGATTCACCGGAGTGGTGCCCAAAGATCGTCAGCATAATTATCTCTGCCCAAAAAACACGGTATCCCTCTGTCACTGCCGCCAAAGTCGAAAAATCTCAAAATTCCCGAATGGTGATATTGGAGCATATAACCAGATTTGATCTCGCAGACTACGCCTCCAATTGCACTGGTACATCTTCCTCTGAGCCTCATACTGCCGCCTTTAATACTGCAGTCTAACCCCAGAACTCATCCCTAAGCTTTACAAAAGTGGTCAATACCTCTAGACAGGAATCAGAATTCGTAACGAGCCGTTTGTCAGCGAAAAACTTTCTTCACTTCGTTTCGTCCAGAATCAAGAACACGCAGCAACTCAAGCTGTGACTTGCACACCTCTGTTCTCGGAATTTGCCACCTGTCAGGAAACAAACTATCTAGAAGAAAGGTGTCCAGTGGATGTGGATCAAATTATGAAACGGTGGTGGTGGTCGGGTGCAATGCCCGAACGGAATTTTGGTGATTTTCGATCCAAGTGACACGAGATTCCCGGATTATGTGTACATCGATTCCCACCTACTGCCTGCGGGCTCAAACGAAAACCGCTTAAATTATGAGACCAGGATCTCTCGTGGATTCGACACTTCACGCTGTCGAATTCTTGGAATATATTCCCGAGCGGAATTTTATTCTCCGCGCAGAGCGGTTGCGTATGGAGATGATTGGATGGCTCCATTAAACAGAAGTCCAAAGGTCGAATCATTTTCATTTAAACCAATGAGATATACTCTCCTTCTCACGTGGAGTGGAAAAAGGGTCCACCTTTTGCTGGCGAGTCGAGAGAGTTTTAGACATGATTGGGACAACCATAAAGATCAATGTTTCGATGACCAGGGAAGTGAATGAAAACTACAGATGGGAGGCCCATTTTATTTTATTTAATATATGTTCTCTCTTAAAAGGGAGGCCCATCGTTCAAGAGAATGCGCGCAAAGCTCGATCGAATCTCATCAATTTGATAGTTGCTGTGCCCATATGCATCCTGCTACATGATATTCCGTGATGAATGTATTTGCAACTTTTCTGCAGTTGTATATATTGCTCTCCCTCTCTCTTCTTTAATAAATAGAACATTCACAGTTTTAGAAGGGCACGTCTATCTTTATTCAGGAGTAAATCCAAAACACGAATTTTCAGTTTTCACTTTTAATATCTATCAAAATAAAGCACTCCTTTCTTTTTCTCTCCATTGTTGGTCGTGATTCCGTGTGTTTTCTGACCTGTTCACCTCTGTATTGGAATATTCAGCTACAGGTTGTCTCTAGTTTCAACATGAGAAAGCAAACAAAAAAAAGAGGCTGCTAGAAAGACAAAGTCTTGTTTTCATCTAGATAATTCATTGTGTTTCAGTTTCATTGATTTGTAGTTATTTTAAAGATTTGTTGGATGATTTAAATTAGCCATTTTAGAAGTGTTTAGACCTTTCTTTGTAGGAAAACACAATGTACAGGGGAAAAAAACTTAACCTTCTGAGAAGTGAATATTATTGGTCATTAATATTTCTGACCTTTCCAAAATATTACAATACCGTGTAGGTGATCAAATTGTTGGCTTTTACTGAAGCCATGATGAATATTTTCTCAATGTAAATTGTTGACCCTTAAAAAATATTTATCGATAGTACATATATGACCATGAATATGAATATGAATACCATATGATATCATTATAAATGTGTAAGTTTAGTATACATCACTTTTGGGAAAAAAATTAAGGGATGATGTATTGTTCAAAGAATAGAGATGGAAAATAAGAAAGATTTGATAAATATTGCTTATTGAGTATATTCGAGAATGAATGGCACTTTGAAAATATCTTCTGCTGGGGTGACTAAATATGGTAAGAATAAATCAAATTGTATCATATGTGCATTAAAATTATTTCTATACAAGAAAAATCATTTTTCAACAATTTCTGATTATAATTAACATAAATCTTGCTGAAATCAATTTGTTTTAAAGTGATTGCCAGATATAAAGTAATATGTAGTATCGTGAATGATGCAAAATAATAATTTTATATAATGTGCTTCGCTTGAAATATGTTATGACTTTACATTGTTAAGATAATGTACCTTATACTTGTGTAGAATCAATTAGGATTCACAATTTTCAAACACATGAATCTACTAAATGTAAATTAATAATGTACAATTTTCCTTCATTACTTCATGTTGTTTTGACAGTATATATGTGGGTTCGCCACATTCATTATGGAAGAGAAAGTAATCATTGTATGGTTTCTTATATTCTATCATTTGATTAATATATAATAAAAATGATATATATATAATATATATACCGTTAATATCATATCAACACATTAAAATAACTACGTTCAATTCAATAAGAGTCAACTTTTCATTAATGCAATATGTTCATATGCGTGTATAAGCCATCAAAACTGCTGATCACTTAAGTATCAAAAGTATAATTCATTTCTTCACAAACATAACTTATAACTGTCTGCCGGTTTGGGAGTATAATCAGATATGCATCCCGAACAGTGCAAATTTTGACAAATATTTGAAAGCAGCATGAAGTGAAAATATGATACCAACTGTTATAATAATGCTCAAATGGATATCAAAACCCGATATTTCTGTTAAGTGTGATGACTTACGCTACTTTTGAAAATAATTCAACCTAAAGACTTCAATTTTGATAAAAGTATGTATATGTATACACACAAAAATATAATTTGTGTGTTTTGAAGAATTAAAATTCATACAAATAATTATCATCAAGAGGAAAATTTATCGTGTCAAAATTAATCATAGCATAAAAATATTTATTCAAATTTATGACAATATTATATGATCAATAATAATATAATTATAAAAAAATGATCATTTAAATTTATATGTATTGAGGAAAAATCTCGTGATATTGAATTATATGTGTCTGATTCAAAAACTAATAACTTCTATGATAGTATCGTAAGATAATTGTGTAAATAATAACTTTGATCATCATTTTGAGAAATAATAAGATAAACAATTTCAATTCCAAATATATATCGAAATATAAATACATTATAAAAACATGGGGTTTAAAATCTGATATATCATGAATGTGTAATTAGATGACGTACCACTTCACATCTGAGACAGTGTGCATGAACTTTAGATGCTCATGGTTGAAAACAATAACCAGGTGCAAGTTTTCAGTTGAAACACAAAGATAAAATCGCATTGAATCGACATCGAAAAGGACCATTTAACTACTTTAAATTATTTAAACCGTTGAATTGTACTTGTCCGTACAAGAAACTCAGAGCGGCATTAGCTTACCATGTCCACACGCATACCCGGCCAACCCAACCCTTAAAGCCTATGGTTTTCAAAATTGTTTTGATTTTACTTCGTTAATCTCTATTAACTTCATAACATATCCCAACTAGAGATTGCTCACCTTGTAGACCCCGATGCGATTATAAATATGACAAAGCCTGATGAATAATCGCTCCTCCGGATGTTTTCTTCAAAATATCACTTGCTCAGCACAACACATTAAATGTCACATCACACAATCAAACCGAAGTCAACACCATACTAACCTCCATTTAGAGTTCCTTCTCCTTTAGTTTATATCATCTGAAGATAACTAAATGGTTGCTGAAGATAATTACTTGGAAATGAGTATATGTTCTACACAAATGGATGCAGAAGACGAATGTGGAGGCCCGATTATGGCCAGTCAGGGTGTAGTCATTTGCGCTGCATACTCATCCCTGGAATCTAAGAGTATAACTACTTTATATTTTCTCTGGAGTCCATGGACACTAAACACTTGTGAAATAGCATTTTGCGTGAGAACTGTGTTACTTGCTTCTCATCCTTGCTATAACAGCACCACCTTCGTTCACCACTAATCTAAGTAATGGAAAGTTTTCCACTTACCTGTGGTGTTCTTGCTCCTCAAGATTACATACTTTTAACGGCTACTGATTGTTATAGAAGAGCATGAATTTTTTGTAGCCCATAAGATGGACAGAAATCATTTGAAAATTATGAGCGTAGGTTTAAGAATAAATGTTACTATTTGATCTTACAATTATATTCTTTAAGATTTTTTTCCCGTTAAAAAATGAAGTTAAGGTGGTAAAGATTGACAGTATATGCACTTTACGTAATTTAACTTGTACAAAAGAAGCTATCACACTATGCAAAAACATTTCATTTTTTTTAACGCAAAAAACTTAGTCTAATGCTTTCGGTGACAAATTAACGTGACTTTAACAAAGCAACAAATTAAACGTGACACTCAACAAATAAGCTGCTTATTTGTTGGCCTTAACGTTTCTATAAAACATTTTATGAATTTTTTCTGCAGATCAGAGCAATTTTATTTATAAATGATTACTTTTTCTTAGTCACAAAAAAACGACCGAATAATCTTTGTGGCTGATTGTAAAACACATGATTGTATAAAATCGAATGAGAGTCATAGAATTGAGATTCGGAATTTTTATAAATTAAAAAATTTATAATAATAATAATAATTTTTTTGAATTTTATCCTTTGATAACAGAATAAAAATTGTAACATCTATTTTTACAATATAATATATGTCATAATTATTTGATCACTACGTGCTTGATACTGTTTTCATCTACTTGGAATGTGATTTTTTTGGTGATTATAATTATGTAGAAGTAAAGAAATAACAATTAAGATGAAAAACATATATAATTAGTTTTTTTAACATTTGAATAAATTTAAACTTAAAAATGAATATTTTTAGTTTTTAATAAATAAAATAATAAGTAAATTGGCAGCAAAATAAAATATAATAACAATTAGGTAATTTTTTAATTTTTTTATCAAACTTAGATTAATAAACTTCATGCAGATTTTGTATTGTCATCAATTTTAATTTTTGAAGAAAGTCGTTCTTGAAGCAACTATTAAAATTTATGTTTAAGTATTAATATAGTAAGAATTTGAATGTGATAAATATTTTGACTGTAAATATTTTAACTCGGGTTGAGTTGAAGTAGATGCTATTCAAAAAGTAGATAGAATTAGATTGTAGTGAATTGCATGCGGCAAACATGTTAACGACATGTTTGTTTATAAAATAAAATTTTTATTTTTACTTTTCTGCTAGTTGAAAATAATAAATCATGAGTGACTTTATTAAAAATATGAATATTTTTTATATCATCAATTCACAAGAAATGACATGAATAATAATAGTGATATATATATATATATATATATATATATATACACACACACACAAGAAAAGTATCAATCTAAATATAATTCATACTAGGAATTTAGGTGTCATATATAAAACATAAAATATTATTTTACCTAAGTGGTATATTGACATAGAATATTTATTCGCTTCTTTACATTCAATGTAATAAATGTAAGGAGGAAAAATATTACTAATTAAATATATTTCACAAATTGAATGAAGCTAAAACTATTATCATTCATTTGTGTACATTTATCAAACTTTTTAGACTTAGGGTGTGTTTATATAGATATATAAGTAACTTGTGTGTATATGTATGTATCTAAATTTTATTAGCATAAATTTTGAAAATATATTTTCCAAAAATAAGAAATAAAGATGTTGAAATTTTCATACTTTGAAACTTGATGACCTTGAAATAATTATTCACATGATTTATTCTTTAATTAAAACAACAGTACCAAAACTTCATGTGTTTTGGAGTTGAACTATCTTTATTTCAATGGTAGTAAGCAAGCATTCGATTATTTGTGATCATACTATTTTTTTAAAAAAAATTTAACGTTTTTTTGGCACTTCTTGTGAGTATTATTACAAACAACTCAAAGTTTAAAAAGTTGTGCGATCTATGTGCATAAAGTCGATGAAAAATAACTTAATAATTTAAATATTGTGTTTATAAAAGCACATGTTGATCAGTTTTAAATTTATATATGATGAAAACTCATGTAAATATGTAGTTAGACAATTGGGTACTAGAACCAGATTGAATTGCTTCTCTTCTTAAGATGCTTTGCAGATGACGATTTTCTTTTTTCAGAAAATGATGTTATTCCGATCGAGAAGATGACATGATAGTCTTCTTTTTTTACAAAACAACGATTTAATTTTTTTTCTTGTGTAATCATAGGTCTGGAAAATATATCTTAAATGCATTTTGATTCCATCATCTGAAAGCTAACTGTGAAGTTTACAGTCTTTTCAAATCAAAGTCTCCCATGTTCATCTCTAGACAGTCGCTGCATTGTTGAATATATGCATGTAGGTTATCAACTATCAGTTTTCATGTATCTTGCTCATCATCATAATTATCCATGTAACACTCCTTCTACTAGTTCATGAGGGTACTTTTTACACATAAATTTTGGTTTCATACATGAGCTCATTTGGTAACTCATGTAAAACGTCAAGTTAATTGACAATGCAAAAAGGGTGAAGAAGTTACATGCACCATATACATTAAGATTAAGAATGAACAAACATTAGCAACTCATTTGAATTTATCGAATTTTAAATTAGTAAATTGTTAGTTGTACTCACCACGTTCATATCAAATGCAAGCGTTGTATGTATCGCAAAAGATCTTGTGGCTCTGCACAATAAAATTCTTCACCGTCGCTAGAAGATAATAAATTACGTATGTCGAATTATTTTATATTTGTTTATAAGATTATCCCACTGTATTTTTAGGAATGTTCAGAGGTGCCTTGAACCCATATATTTGGAGGGCATGGAATGTTGCAACATGGGGAATGGATAGTAATATTGTATAAATGGATCAGTATAGAATAGGTCGGAGGACAGAGCGCGTAGATTGAATTTGCCTTTGCCCCAAGAACACTGCTTATTATAAGCGAGGAGGTGGATATGTACTGGGAAAATGCCATCCAATAACTTGCCGTCCCGTTCTACTTTGTTGACTTCTGGCAGGGCAGGAATGGAAGAGGGTGCGGTCAAACCGGCAGCGTTTTAACATTCCACAAATACCCAAAATTTGTCAATCAGAATCGTGCGATGAATCCACGCCATCCTCACCGTCGATGCCACATCATAACTTGTCGTGATGCGAAATCAGGACGCGGTTTAGATCATCTGCAAATTGTCATATGAATGCGGTCTAAAACAGCTTTTTCCTCTACTCATTGGAATCTGACATGTAAGACCTGGGGGATAGCAACGGTACTTGCTAAGTCAGTAGAAAATCGTCAAGAGTCCATAAGTGAGTGAACCGAATAGTGTGCGACCGCATATATTATTGCCATCCGGGATTTCGCTTTCCTAGGTCCCAAAAAAACTGCGTAGATGTCACACGTATCAACATCATGCCAAATTCGTACGCCATAATCTTAGCGAAATCACGAACTATTTGACCGGTGTCTCGCTGGACTCGAATATTATTTAGTAAATAAAGTACAGTGGCGAAAGAACCTTTTGGAAGCTGAACACAAGAAGGGAGATTATGACGAAATGCAATAATCAGTGCCAGTCATGCCGAATTGGCATAGCGAGTGCTTGCTGGAATGGGCAGGCTGTACTCGGAGCGAGACGGCTTATGCTTGGAAGGTTAGGGGGGTCCATGTGCGTTTGTTCCCTCGTCCCTCAACGACACGACCGCAGGTCCAGCTGTGTACGTCCGTGGCATCGCCGGAATATGGCAGACGCAACCGCCGGGTAAGGGCATTGCGGCGAAATGGCGGGGGAGAATAAGCTCAACGGACAAGAGAATAGCGTCACCTACCTGCATCGGGCCGTTACGGCATCCCAATAAGCCCGCTACATTTAGTGAAGGCGTGGTCCGTCTGTCGCGGGAGGCCGAGGCCAAGAGGGAGGGAGGCGGGGAGGGAGGGAGGGAGTGGGTGATGATGCGGCCAGCTGGCTGGCACACTGCCCTGGGGGGGCGTTATCGCCGCCGTCCGTTTCTGAGAAGCGGCTTGCACGTGGCAAGCCTTCATGCGCAGCTCGTGCCCGGATCCGGACACGTGGCGCGGTCGATAATTGGGCTAGCCTTTGACGTCACGCACGTTAACTCTCGTAGCCCGAGTCCGCAGCGGCAGACTGGGCTCTCCGCCGGGCATCCTCGGCGCTAAGCGAATATTCCCCCACCACCCCCGCGCTGTAAGTTACTGGCGCGGGAGGGAGGGAGGCGGCAGCGGAGGGGGCCCGCTACTTGCACCTGACCGGAGTCGCAGTGGCCTGAGGCTGAGGCTGAGGCTCAGCCTTAGATCTTCCGAACGCAAATTGCCCTTTTCTGTCTGCTCTGTCGCGGCTCGTCTTCTGGCGCTCGCTCATCTGGTGAAGGAAGGCAACCCTTGGAGCAGCGATCAGCAGCTCAAGGCAGCAGCAAAGCAGCACTCTCTCCAGCCAGCGAGCAATCATCATCCACCGCTCCATCGACTGATCGGCCCGCTCGCCCCATCTAGCTATCGGTCTGCTTGGAGTGCTCCTCGGGGTCGTTCGTTGGTCGTTTGTTGGAGGGAAGGAGGAGGAGGCGGAGGTAGAGGCAGAGGCTGCAGGCGTCGTTGGCGTTGGCTTGCGAGGTTATTGTTGTTTCCTCGTTAGAGTGTGTGTGCGTCGGGAGAGTGCGAAGAGGAGGATTAGGAGGAGGAGCTGAAATCTTGGTGGGAGGCGGAAGCGCGTTTAAGGGCGAAAGGGAGGACGTTCGTCGAGGATTAGCGATGGCGGCCCGAGACGAGTTGAGGGAGGAAAATGTGTACATGGCAAAGCTTGCCGAGCAAGCCGAGCGGTACGATGAGATGGTAGAAGCTATGGAGAAGGTAGCCAAAACTGTCGATGTCGAGGAGCTTACCGTCGAGGAGCGAAACTTGCTCTCCGTGGCGTACAAGAACGTCATCGGGGCACGCCGTGCGTCGTGGAGGATTATTTCCTCCATCGAGCAGAAGGAAGAGAGCAAGGGTAACGACGACCACGTCGCCATGATTAAGGATTACCGAGCGAAAGTCGAGTCCGAGTTGAGCACCATCTGCGAGAGCATTCTGAACCTTCTTGACACCCACCTGATCCCCACATCTACCACCGGGGAATCGAAAGTTTTCTACTTGAAGATGAAGGGTGATTACCACCGGTACCTTGCGGAGTTCAAAACCGGCGCTGAGAGGAAAGAAGCAGCAGAGAGTACATTGCTCGCTTACAAGTCCGCGCAAGTAAGCTCTTCGAATACCTTTGGGCTGCGTATTTCCCGAAGCCCCAACTATATCTGATCCCCGCGCTACTCTTCCCTCTTGCAGATCTGTGTTTTTTTCTGATCAACAGATCTGGGTTACGATGATCAAGGGCCAAAGTAGTGTATGAATCGGTTTGTTCGCTGTCTGCCTTCGCACTCGAGTGTAGGACCTCTTTTGAACCAGGAGTTTGTTTTTATCGTTTCTTACTGCTCTTATCCATTCTGCAGGATATCGCTCTGACCGAGTTGGCCCCTACTCATCCGATCCGATTGGGACTTGCCCTCAATTTCTCAGTCTTCTACTACGAAATATTGAACTCACCCGACAGAGCGTGCACCTTGGCGAAACAGGTATGGTCGTTTCCTGCTTTGGAACGTCTAGATGTTCAGGCAGTTGTGAGGCTGTCACTTGCCATGGAATGCTAACTGCTCTAGCCTATCACCGAGAATATATCGTTTCATAATACTTTCGACGCTATTGTGGGTTGCGACTAATTTGTGTAGGGTTTTCCATACTTCGGCGTCCTAACTGTTGATAATATCCTGTCTGGCTGCAGGCGTTCGACGAAGCGATTGCCGAGCTTGATACACTAGGAGAAGAGTCGTACAAGGACAGCACGCTCATCATGCAACTTCTACGAGACAACCTAACTCTCTGGACATCAGATATGCAGGTAAGATGAGCATACACGATGCGTCTTGAATCTCGCAACGAAAAATCGGACTTGGCAGCCTTGTAATTCACATCTACTATGAGATGGTCCGTAAATGGTCTGTCTTAGCGGTGTCCAGCTTTTCATAGTTTACTGACCTTACGTTGTTATATATCAGGAGGACGCCGGAGATGACACCAAGGAAGCCAAAACCGAGGATGCCGAGGACAGTTAATTGAGCCGATGGTCTTCTAAGGGGAATGTTAAAAGTTGCAGCAATCATGTGATTGGAGAGTGTGGGAATTGGGCCCATTTGAACCTGGAGAGAGTGCAGTAGGACATCTGCTCTGGTGATTGTCAGCTCCTTCTTAAAGAAGGCCTTGATCTGGCAAGATAAATCCATCCACAGATCGCTAGACTAGAATGGTCTATTGCAGTCGCAAGGCTCTTGCACTCTTTGTAAAATTTTGAGAAGATTGCTTTTCCTTGCCAGCACTGAGCTAGTTGCCAGCATCAAGGACTAGCTGCATTTACATATATCATTATATCACTTAGCACATGAAAGCATTGGACAAATGTCGCGGAGCCTTTTTTCACTCTGGCATTTGGCTGGCCGGCTTGAAGCATCAACGAGAAGGCAAGGGAAGTGTCCGGACGTGATTAGCCCGGATAGAATACACTAAGAGGTCAGGTCTTTTGAAGTCGTGTGGATCTCCTTTAAAACGTCTTAAGAATATCGTGCAGCGATTCATGTTTCTGAACAATTGAAGGACAGGGCAGTCTGCTTTGCGATGACGCCGAAGAGTTTGTTGTGAACTTGTTTGGGATGAACATATGAGGTGAATTATTTAGTAGGTTATGATATCATGTCTCGCATGGTGCTTGTTGTTTTAGGCTTATTAGGTTTTGTCTATATAAGAAAGTCGCAAGCTTGTACGCGTTGCTCTTTGCAGCAAATAAGGTATTGATGGGTTGTCGTCACCAATGGTTGGTTTGGTTGGTCGGTCGACTGTAGTGTTAAGAAGGTCTGAACTGAACTTCACAGTTTCCCGGATGTCTTTTTCTTCGAATTAGCTGAAACCTTTATGTACATGAAGGTCTTGTGTAGCGTGGCTTGAGTGAGATTCTCGGATGGACCTCGTGGTGTATGTTCTCATCACGAATTTCTGAAGTAAAGCGTATCAACAATGCCGAGACGCCTAACAGGTTAGGCCAACTCTCGATAGAGTCAATTATCGAAATTGAAAACCGTGTGGATACTTGCCTTCACTTCTAGGGCAGGCGCTTGATCAAACGAGGAAGTAGATGTCATCCCGTGTGCCTACAAGACTCATGTCAGATGAAATTGGGAGTAGAACAGTCTTTAGCAAATACTACCTCGATATCTTTGTCTGCAGAAGTGGAGACCTAATTATCGTTGAAGCAGTAAAGAAATCTGCAGGTCGACTTGACACGACTCTTTCGTGCGGATGTATTGTTACTACCTACTGCATCAGTTTTTCTTGCTTTGTACGTCTGAGCCCGTCCAGATGAGTCCGCCTTCTGATCGAAAGTGGTACTGCACGTTGCATTGGATTGATCTGATCAGATACTCCAAAACTGTCGAACGTCCTCGACATACTGTACTCAGACAAGCGAGCAAGAAGCAACGGTGGGTGAAGCAAATCCCGTTCAAGAGGAATCAGACCATTATTGTTGGTCTGTACATGTGGGATGGAGGCTGCGAATTACGTGAAAAAAATATCACTATCCAAGGATTTAAAGTTTCACCCTAAGTTTCACCCGAAATTATAAAGCAAATATTTTCTGATACAAGATGATTTTTCATATTATTCTAAAAGTCGTAGTCAGCGGCAATACGCCCAGTTACTGAAGCGTGAGCTGCAACCCCGTCGAAGGTGGGGCTTAGTACCAACTCTCTCAGTGGAGTGTATCTTGAAATTAGAACACGAGGTCATTTCTTCCGTTCTAGTTTTGTGTATGACAAGTCAAATGCATGGAAATGCACACGTCAAATGTTATAGTTCACATCACATTACTTTTCACCTACAAATACACTGGAAACATATAAACACACAAGACTTGGAACTGTCAAGTTGACGAAGTTGACAAATGGCGTTTAGGGAACTGTCACTTTGCAACTATTAAAGGCGAAAAAACGTCCGTCTCTCACCCAACAGCTGACTCAAGCACGCCTTTGTCGCGTAAGGAGGAAGTCGACGACACACAGTGACTCAGCAGGCGAGATTGCAGTACAGAGCCAAGGCAAAGTAGGACCACGAGCAGAAGCTGGGAAATCTGTACATGCGCTCCCCAACTGTCACTGACATGGCATGTCATGCAGCCGCATTGCAGCCCACCCGCATCACGTGGCGCGAGCAAGTGTGCAGAGAATCCACTGTTCGCCTTCGGCGTTCGAACCGAGCGCCGTGGAAATGCGGTGGAAATGTGCCGGTGTCCAGTACTGTACCCAACTGATGATAAGAACCCCCGCCCCTTCCCGCGCCCTCAGCGTTTACTCGTCTGATGTGTCACGTCTCGATTCTACTGCGGCGCGGACTGACTTTGCTCCGACGCAGTCGGTGATCCAACTGCGTTGAAGGGAAACCGCGCGGCGCCGGCAGTAAGATGGACCGGTCAGTGACGACACATTCAGTGAGTGAGTCCAAATGAGTGAGGAAAATGCCACGTCGGATGTTCACCAACTAGAAGGAGTATCTTCCCGTACTTCAACCTCAAATTAACATCCGAACTACGGTTGGAGTCACGACCTCAAAGGGCATGCCGGTATGTACAAACAAATTTGTACTCCCGAGTTTTTCCGCCGTTCTACTTCTAACAGTGATGTGTTTATACGGAAGTACAATTTTGATATGTGAATGTACATATTTTAATACGGGCATGGGGCATGCCTTTTGACTCTCAAAGGGGAATGGCATGCCTCCCCTTCTGTCCCGATCACATGATGCATACTTTGAGATGGATTGTTTTTCCGATGATTCGAGTGTCTACCGTGATTCCTTCGGCCAATTGATGCTAGAGATTTGATAGTGTACAAATCGAGATATATGGACAAGGCAAGGTCATGCTTTTCATGCAAAGTAACGCATATCTTACTTGAAGCGTTCGGGGAAAACGTAGCTTTTTGTCTGTCTGGTATCTGCTGCAGTGAATCATTTGACACGAACAGATTCACTGAAACCTCTTATCGTATTATCGTATTGGCATTCAGCTGATGATTAGGTCTTTGTTGCAACCACTTCTAAGTCTGGTAAACTGTCAACGTACATTTGCACCGAGGATTTACGACTATTACATGTTCCTGTTTGGCGTTTGATTCCACATTAAGGTCAATAGAAACAGGAACCTGGTGTGGATGGTAGTTTGTGATCCACAGATGCACCGTCTAGTGGATAGACATATGTATTTCTCATCCTTAGTTACACTATAATCAAACATATGCAAACGGCTAGTAAAACATATATAGATAACTAATGAATTCTTACATAAACAAAACGGAGAAAACCAACCAAATAACTAGCTTATGATCCTGTCGAGTTTTGAATTGAACCATCTAGTTCAGTACTTTCTCCAATTTTTCTAGGAAAAAGATCCAGTATACATAGTAGTTCTATCAGGAGAGCCCATATTTTTTATTACAATAATTCATAAAAAATTGCCTTCTAAAATTTTCTAAGAAATTTTAGAAAACAATTTATATCTTGAGACTAATTTTGAAAAGTTAAAATTTTCTACAGTATAGACTTAAAAAAGCAATTTGAATGCATAGCACGCATGTTTTAACATAACAACTCCAACAATAAATAAATATATAAATATATGGGGAAAAAAATCAAAATTTAAAACGTGTATCTAGAAAATTATAACAATCATTGGAAAAATATATTTTGCACTTCAAAATTGGAGTATATTAAAAAAAACTTATGCAAGATATATAAATTACGGTTATTCTAAATAATTGTGTGATTGAAAGAATGAATAAATTTGATAATCTTCATGGAAAAAAATGAAGTGAAACATACTAATAATACTGCTTTAAATCAATTTTAATCTTAATCTTGCAGATATAAAAGAAAATAATTTAATTTAGAAAAATCAAATAAGACAATTTAAATGTAAACTTTTTTTCATAATCTATAAAAAAATTTTATTTCTTTAATTTCTTTGCAGCTATATAAAATAAAATAAAAATATTTTTAAACTATACATATATAATTTCATTAATTATTTTTCATATTTTTGTTATTATGAGTTTAAACTCCACTTACGGTTTTGAACATAAAATTTTATTTCAAACTTGTCTATTTTGTAAATTTTATTTGAATATAAAATAAAATTTAATACAAATATAAGAAATATCATATTACGAAATTCATTTAAAATAAACAAAATAAACGGCTTTTAACGTGAGGAACGAGGATATGGTTGATGGATATGCAAATGTTGAATTGCAATTTTCTTAGCTTGATGTATAGCGATCCACTCATTGTTCATCTGGTTCCTTCTCGTGTTTTCGTTATTGACGCGTTGTTAGTAACTTAACTTTCACGTTATGCGAGAAGTATCAGAGAGTATGGCGAGGTGATTATGGTATAGCCATTGAGGAGATAAGAGTACAGGTTGCGAAATCCTATCACCTCATTTATCATCCATTCACTGGTGTAATTGTAATTCCCATAATATTGAAAGTTTTTTTCGTACGGCAAACAATCGCTATGATGCGTGGCCACAGTGGATATTTGATACTATTACATAATATATTATTTCAATCTTATTATATTAATATATATTTATGTCAACAAGAACACAAAAGCTTTATTGAAAAAAAAAACTTCAATTGTCACCAAAAGCTTTCATAAACTCTCAGTTTGCAATCTCGGAAAGATCCCCTACTACGACATATAGACCATATGAAGTGTGCAAGTACAAATCTATGTCGAGAGAGAGGCTGATGAGTTGGACGTGCTAGGATTGGATGCAAGGTGGTGGAAGGCAGAGAAATTAAAGTCTCTTCATTATAAAGTTCTGCACGTCAAGCTTGATGTCCATGTGCACGGAACTATAATCTTTTTGCAGACTTTATGTATATATTTTTTAACAGTAATGAAACTAATATGAATTACCTAAACAATCTAAATTAAACTACAAAAATATTTTAAATTCATACATTCTTCAATGTACAGATTCATATAATAAACGACAACAAAATATATTTAATATATTTTGCCATATATACAATTTTGAATGAATTTTATCAAAATAGAAAACTTTCTTTGATCTTTTGACACAAAATAAGAGTACTGACAATATTAAACAAACGAGAAAAAACTAGTGTTCACACACGATAATGCACAAAAGTACATAGAATACTCAGATAAGTGGTTCACCCTTTTTCTTTACTGCATCCACAGTCAAAAGGGAATCACTGTGATGAAAAGATGTAGTGGGGTTTACAAACTCCTCACAAGGGGTATAAGTAATACTATTCTAACTGACCTCATACGATTGAATATAAAAAGTTACCCAAAATAAAAAAGTTAACCTCAACATGGTCATTGTGCCCTTGGACTAGCAGGTTGGGAGAGATTCGACTTCAAACAAAAGATCTTACGTAAAAAATAATCTTAGTGATAGATTATGATTACATTCCAATATTACCATCAAAATTGAATGCAAACTATCTAACATATACAGTTAATACAACAATATTTTAACAGTAAAAATTAAATAATTATGTAGACATGTAATTTTAAAACATAAATTTTTTCATCTGAACCTGATCAAATGAAAATAAGGTTTAAGTTTTTTGATGAATTTTTTTTAATTTTCATATCTATATTAAAAATGAAAATTTTGAAATATATATTTTACAATGATTGATAAAAAATTATTCTATATTTTAATAAAATGTGATAAGTTTTAAAGTTTTAAAATTTGAGCATATTGTAATTTTCAAATAAATAAAATTATACGTTTTCACTTGAAATAAACTTTTATGAAGATAAA